CCTGTCGGTCGCTTGCCCACCCCACCGTTCTGTGGCACCACCAGATGGGACACCCTTCTCTTCCACGTCTGCGTGCTATGTCTAGTCAGCGTCTGGTCTTAGGTCTCCCGCGTGTCTTGCCGTCGCTGCCGCCGTCCCTTGCACCACCGTGCGGTCCTTGCGTCGAGGGTAGGCTGCGTGCCACCCCTCACTCCTCCTCCCTTCGTCCGGCCACCGAGCCTTTTGAGACGCTGCACTTGGACGTCTGGGGCCCCTCTCCTCGCCCTGGCCCTGAGCGTGAGCGTTTCTTTTTGGTGGTCGTTGACGACTACTCCCGCTACACCACAGTGTTCCCCCTGGCGAGGAAGTCTGAGGTGACTTCTACGCTGATCAGGTGGTTGCTTACCACCCAGGACACTCGTGGTCGTCGTGTCAGCTGTCTCCACTCCGACCGCGGGGGCGAGTTTCGCTCCGGCATTCTCGCTGGATTCTGTCGCGAACAGGGCATTCGTCAGTCCTGGACGCTTCCGGAGTCCCCACAGCAGAATGGGGTTGCTGAGCGTCGCATAGGCCTGGTCATGGAGATTGCCCGCACCTCCTTGACTCACGCCCGTGCCCCCCATTTCCTGTGGCCATACGCAGTCAGGTACGCCGCGCACCAGCTGAACCTCTGGCCACGCGTCTCTCGGCCGGAGGCTTCACCGACCAGTCTTTGGACAGGGTCCCCTGGTGTCGCGTCGAGGTTTCGTGTCTGGGGGTGCTTGGCTCTTGTCCGCGACACCTCCGCGGACAAGCTCTCGCCTCGCGCCGTTCCTTGTGTCTTCCTTGGTTTCCCTGAGGACTCCTCTGACTTCACCTTTTACCACCCTCCCTCTCACCGGTTCTTTGACTCCCGTGACGTCCGTTTCGAGGAGTCCACCCCGTACTACGTCAGGTACCCCAGTCGAGGTCTCCCGGTTCCTCCTCCTCCCCTTTTCCTGACAGCCGCTCCCCCGCCTGCTCCCCCGGTACAGCCTCCCCCCCCTGGTCCAGCCCCGTCTGGTGTGTCTCAGGCTAGCCCTCCCCCTTCGGTAGCCCCCCCTGTACAGCCTCCCTCCCCACAGTCTTCCTCACCGCCTCCTGTAGGTGCTCCCTCTCGGGAGGTTGGTCCTGCGACTGTCCCTGTACAGGTCTCTGGTTCTGGGGGTGCTGGAGTTGGAGCTGAGCCGCGGGTTGCAGAGGACTCTTCTCTTCCGGGGGCTGGTACTGGTCGTGCGGAGTCTGGGGGTGCTGGTGCGGAGTCTGGGGGTGAGGGTGTTCCTTCGGTTTCTGGAGAGCCTGGGTCTGGAGCTGGTGTTGGTGCTGCCTCTGGGGGTGGTGTGCTTGGTGCTTCGGAGGTCGACTCTGGGGCTGCCGCTGCCCCGGACACTACTCCTTCCCCCCACCCCTACCCGACCAGGTTCCAGGCTCGTGTTCGCCGTGCTCGTGAGGAGCAGCTGGAGTTGGAGAGAGAGGAGAGAGAGTTGCAGCGGCTCGAGGAGCAGGAGCGACAGCAGCAGGGGCAGCAGCCGCTGGAGCAGCAGCAGCCGCAGCAGCCGCAGCAGCCGCAGCAGCAGCAGCAGCTGCTGCCGTCTCCTCCTCCTGTCTCGGGTCTTCGGACCCTTGGTCTCCCCTCTCCCTCTCCTTCCTCCTCCCCCTCTCCTCCCGTCTCTGGTCCTCCGCTTCCTCCTCCTGACCCCTCTCCCGCTGTTTTCCCTCGTTCTCAGTCTTCGTTGTCCCCTCCTCCTTCTCAGACTTGGGCCTCTCGTCGCTCCCCTCGTGCTCGTCCCTCGTCTCCTGTTCCCTTCACTGACCTTCGTACTGCCTTACTTCGTTCTAGTCCACCTCGTCCGTCTCCGTCTGTGCTTCCGTCTCCTCCTGAGTCGGCTCTCACTGCGTCGCTCCCTACTCCTGTCACTGACTACTACCGCACGTACCGTCCTCTTCTCTCTCGTGTTCTCGCCTCGCTTGTTACTCACCCTCGTGCCTCTGTGTCCTCTGTGTCCGCTCTTACTGCCGCAGTCACTGAGTTTGCCTCTACCCGCCGCCTTGACTTCGCCACCGCTCTTGTGGCTGCTCCTCCTTCCAGTCCTCTGGCCGTCGGGGGTGTGTCTGCCCTTGGCTGTGACGCCCTAGAGGACAGGCAGTTTGAGCTAGAGTTCCTGGCGGCCGCTTCCCCTCATCTCTGTGCCATGCTCCTCGCCCCTGAGGGTGACCCCGACGCCCTTGACATTCCGACTCCTCGCACTTACGCTGAGGCAGTGTCAGGGCCTTGGGCCTCTCAGTGGAGAGCTGCCATGGACGCAGAGATGGCCTCCTACAGATCCACAGGCACCTACGTCGATGAGGTTCCCCCTCCGGGGGCGAACGTAGTCGACGGCATGTGGATCTACAGGGTGAAGCGGCCACCGGGATCTCCTCCAGTCTTCAAGGCACGCTACGTGGCTAGAGGTTTCAGTCAGCGCGAGGGAGTTGACTTCTTTCAGACCTTCGCGCCCACCCCGAAGATGACCACTCTTCGGGTGTTACTACACGTAGCAGCACAGAGAGACTACGAGTTACACTCTCTCGACTTCTCTACTGCTTTCCTTCAGGGCAGTCTTCACGAGGAGGTCTGGTTGCGTCGTCCCTCTGCCTTCACTGGCTCTTTCCCTCCTGGGACCCAGTGGAGGCTGAGGCGACCGGTTTACGGTCTTCGTCAGGCTCCTCGTGAGTGGCACGACACCCTGCGTTCTACCCTGTCTGACCTTGGGTTCCAGCCGTCTTCTGCTGACCCGTCGCTGTTCGTTCGTCGTGGCCCCACACCTTTCTTTGTTCTGGTCTACGTTGACGACCTTGTTTTCGCCACCCCTGACAGGGTTGCTTTGGCACACGTGAAGTCCGAACTGCAGAAGAGACACACCTGCACTGATCTTGGTGAGCTGCGCCACTACCTTGGCCTGCAGATCACCAGGGACAGAGCTGCTCGCACCATTACACTTTCACAGTCGCACATGGTGCAGCAGGTCCTTCAGCGGTTCGGGCTTCAGCACTCCACAGTACAGCGCACACCTCTTGCTGTTGACCACAGACTCACTGGACCCTTTCCTGACGAGCCGTTCGAGCCTAGTGGTCCCTACGCAGAGCTTGTGGGTTGCCTCATGTACCTGATGACTTGTACTCGCCCGGACCTCGCCTTCCCTCTCAGCGTTCTTGCGCGCTTTGTTGCGCCAGGGAGACACCGTCCTGTTCACTGGACAGCAGCTGTGAGGGTGGCGAAGTACCTAGCGACGACGTCAGGCGTGGGGCTAGTTCTTGGAGGGCAGCAGTCTGTCGTACTTACTGGTCACTGTGACTCCTCTTACGCTGACGACGCTGAGACTCACAGGTCTACTCAGGGGTACTGTTTCAGCCTGGGTTCTGGAGCTGTTTCCTGGCGGTCCACGCGCTCCTCTTCGGTCTCGACCTCTACAGCTGAGGCTGAGATCTACGCTGGTGCCATGGCGGCACAGGAGCTGCGTTGGTTGACCTTCTTGCTCACCGACCTTGGTGAGCGACCGAGCTCTGCACCGACCTTGTTCACTGACAACAAGGCGTCTATTCTCCTTTGTCGAGAGCCACGACTGGAGAGCAGAGTGAAGCACATTCACGTCAGGTACTTTCTTCTGCGAGAGTTGCAGAGGCGTGGACAGGCTCGCTTTGAGTTTGTGGAGTCCGAGGCCAACACTGCAGACATCTTCACCAAGGCGCTTCCGCCTTGTGACCACCAGAGGTGCTGTGTGCAGTTAGGCCTTGTTGACACTGGTTCTCGTGTTGCTTAGACTTGAGTGTACTGTTTACTTTGCTTTCTATATACCTCTGTTACTTCTTGGACTGGCCTTGTGGCCACTGTTGTTTGTGCTCAGACTGTGTGGTGACGTTGTGATCCACCCTGAGCTTCGTTTCTTGGACTGGTCTTGTGACCGTACTCGTGTGGTTCTGCTAGACACCCCTCACTTAGGCTATGGGGGTGTGTCAAATGTTGTAGCCTATAGTGAGGTTTGTCTTAGGGGGTACAAAACTTAGGGTTAGCTATATGTACCCCAACCAACATCAATGCATCATCCATTCTTCATTCTGACAATTAAAACCACTCTTGAATGAGATCCATGAATGTGAAACCAAATATTATGCACGTACGTATCATGTTGAAACCATGAACTTGCTCGACCGACCAGCTCGTCGATTAGTACGGCGGCTGGTACGGCCGAGCATAATATTCTGGCTTCAACATGAACGAATGCAATTGTACAGATGAACAACAAAGTTTGAAATGTGGGTGGTGGATGCTTTAAAGTGAATGTTAAAATGCATCATGTAACAACAGAGGTTGATGGGGTCGTTGAAACAGCGAAAACACGCTGCCCCAAAGACGATTAACAACCTCTAATTGCATACATGACACATAATAACACCACACTTTGAAACACATCCCACAAACATGAATGCAAACGCACGTAAAAACAAAAAAAAGGTACAACCCATCTAACCAAACGCATAGAAATGCAACCTCACAGTGAAACAAACACGAGAAACAAGAACACACTCTCGCAGAAACACACCCGCACAGCACACACATACACACACAAAAAGGATTGAGAGCAGACAAGCATAACAAAGAGTTGCAATAAGCTAATTATGTATCAATCACTACTACATTGTCCCCAGTTCCTCCCCCTTTCCGCCTGCCTTCCTCCCTCCGCCATCAAAACCTCCTTCCACCCTTTTCCACATTGTCTTCTCTCTCGGATTCCCCTCCCTGCTCCCCACAACGCGTCTCGCACACCTTGCAAAACAAACAGGTCAAGTAGAAAACGAATTGTAGTCGGAAAACGGAGTGAATTTCAGTGACGAGCATGCACTTGATTGTGAAATAGAACTTGAAAAGCAAGTATGGGTTGAAATATGATAAGTACAAAAGGAAACCGAATTTGACGACTCACAAGCGTGGTTTGAGGCATAGATCCCCTTGGGTCAAGCACACCATGCTGGTGGCTCCAGCGAGAAAGGTGCATTGGTGCAACGAGATGGGCATCGCCATGCTACAAGGCGCTAGAGAGTTGCAGCAAGGCACCGGCAGAGGAGCAAGCGGGCTGCCGTAGCAACGCGTGAGCTCACTGCAGCAAGGCGTGAGCTCACTGCAGCAACGCGTGAGCTCACTGCAGCAAGGCGTGAGCTCACTGCAGCAACACGTGAGCTCACTGCAGCAACGCGTGAGCTCACTGCAGCAAGGCGTGAGCTCACTGCAGCAAGGCGTGAGCTCACTGCAGCAAGGCGTGAGCTCACTGCAGCAAGGCGTGAGCTCACTGCAGCAAGGCGTGAGCTCACTGCAGCAACGCGTGAGCTCACTGCAGCAAGGCGTGAGCTCACTGCAGCAAGGCGTGAGCTCACTGCAGCAAGGCGTGAGCTCACTGCAGCAAGGCGTGAGCTCACTGCAGCAACGCGTGAGCTCACTGCAGCAAGGCGTGAGCTCACTGCAGCAACGCGTGAGCTCACTGCAGCAAGGCGTGAGCTCACTGCAGCAAGGCGTGAGCTCACTGCAGCAACGCGTGAGCTCACTGCAGCAACGCGTGAGCTCACTGCAGCAACGCGTGAGCTCACTGCAGCAACACGTGAGCTCACTGCAGCAACGCGTGAGCTCACTGCAGCAACGCGTGAGCTCACTGCAGAATGCAGCAACGCGTGAGCTCACTGCAGCAACGCGTGAGCTCACTGCAGCAATGCGTGAGCTCACTGCAGCAACGCGTGAGCTCACTGCAGCAAGGCGTGAGCTCACTGCAGCAACGCGTGAGCTCACTGCAGCAAGGCGTGAGCTCACTGCAGCAACGCGTGAGCTCACTGCAGCAACGCGTGAGCTCACTGCAGCAAGGCATGAGCTCACTGCAGCAAGGCGTGAGCTCACTGCAGCAAGGCGTGAGCTCACTGCAGCAACGCGTGAGCTCACTGCAGCAACGCGTGAGCTCACTGCAGCAAGGCGTGAGCTCACTGCAGCAACGCGTGAGCTCACTGCAGCAACGCGTGAGCTCACTGCAGCAACGCGTGAGCTCACTGCAGCAACGCGTGAGCTCACTGCAGCAACGCGTGAGCGTGCGCAACGATTTGACAGCGCACTGCCGCAACAAGGCTGCCGCAGGAATTTGCCAGCGCCGCAAAAAAGGCAGCAGCGCACAAGCCGCCAGCACGCAACAACGTGCCAGCGAGCTGCGAGGGCACCTGCAAGGCGCCAAACATAAGGCGCCAGCGTGTTTGGCGCCAACGCAGCAAACGCCAGCGCGCTAGGCGCTAGCGCGTTAGGCGCCAGCGCTCTAGGCGCCTGCGGATTAGGCGCCAGCGCGCTAGACGCCAGCGCGCTATGCGCCAGCGCGCTAGGCGCTAGCGCGTTAGGCGCTAGCGCGTTAGGCGCTAGCGCGTTAGGCACAAGCGCGTTAGGTGCCAGCGCGTTTGGCGCCAGCCCGTTAGGCGCTAGCGCGCTATGCGCCAGCGCGCTATGCGCCTGCGTGCTCGCTCCCGTGCGCACACACTCCCTCACACACCCTCTCTCCCCTTCTTAAAATGGAGGCACAATGCTAAGAGGAGACCAATTGGCATTGAGAACTTACGAGGAAAGTGGAAAAAATAGGACATTTCGGAGAGAGAAGGAAAAACGCACCTGACACAACCGTGCCTAAGAAAACAACGCGTGGTCGTGCAGCAAGCCACCAAACGCGACGGCGGGAACGGAGGGAAAGACGAGGGAGGTGAGGAGATGCGACGGCGGGGAGTGAGGGAGAGGTGACGGGAAGGTGGTTCTAAAAACGCTATAGGTAGGAAATGGCGACGGGTTGTGAAGGTACAGCATTTGGGGTGGGAAGGAAAGGGGAGATGAGAGTCGAGCAGGTGGTTGAATTCAAGAAACGGGAATCGCAAGGGAGTAGACAGTGCGGTAGGTTTCTTGGGTTTGGTTGGGTTTGTGTAGCGCTGGCAAGAAATTCTATGCCAACGAGGCACGAACCAGTTTTTACAACCGAAATACACCAGTTCCGTTATACTCGCCAAAATCAAGAAAGTTGTAGATGGATATTTTTAGCTGTTTGTGACACATAGAAAACAATATACACAAACTCACTAGAAAACAATATTGCTTAGTCAAACAAATATAGTTATATTCGCTAATATTTTCCCATCAACAACACTCAATGTTAAGACAGATTTACCATGAGGAATAACAAATAAAAAAACTTAAAAGCATGTTATAAAGAGACATACTTCATCGTTTTCTCTGTATACCATAGGTATAATATCAAGCTAGCACGATAGTGGAAGTCCTACGCAACCCTTACGACGTTAACGTCGAATCTTGTTTTCCATTTGCAACTCGCCAAGCAAGCTCCGTAATGAGGGGAAGATGCAAAGCAAAATTCGCAAGACATGACGTGATTCGTAAACCAGCAACAGTGACTGCAAGGACGGCACTGAATGTCCCACATGCAGAAAACAACCCCTGGCTTGGCAATATGAGCAATCCCCTCCCCCCTCCCCCCCTCCCTCCCCATTAGTTTACATGGGCACCACACCACTACCATTTGTCACGGGCGAAAACATATACGGTATTCGCCATTGTATGTACAGTACAAACGCAGCACCAATAAAGAACGGCTATCTTTTCATATGATGAGCTCCTTCGTATGTATGTACAAACGAAGCAAGCCATCTGCAACAGCATCTGAAATCTCCCCCTGAAAACACACAAAAGAGCAAAGGAACGAGGAATCTGTCTGGATGAGGAGGGAGAATGGACCGGTATGCAACCATTTAGCCCAAGACCAATGGTGGACAAACGAAGGATGGTTAACTACGTGATAGAAGAGTGTTTTTGAGACGTCTCAAAAACTAATAGTGGACAACAAAGGCTGGGTAACCAACATCTCGATCTTCTCTCTTCCCTCCCTTTCACACTTCATACATATTGTGCTGCAAGTGACACGTACCGTGCTGCAAGTGACACGTACTGTGCTGCAAGTGACACGTACCGTGCTGCAAGTGACACGTACCGTGCTGCAAGTGATACTCAAAGGACCCAATAGCAGCTTCCAGTCACTAGAAGCAGCAGACTGGCCTTCCCTTACAGACACGCCACCCCTCTCACTCCAAGCTGCTGCACCACCACCCACCTCCTCCTCTTGCTCCTCCTCCTTCCTCCTTTTCCCCCTCCTACGCTGCCTCCTCTTTCTCTTCCTCTTCTGCACCCTGTGAGACTCCCCGCTGCTGCTTGACCCCTCCTCGTCACTCTCCCTCCCACTATCACTCTCAATCTCCCTCTCACTCCTACTCTCACTCTCAGTTGAGAATCTGTCCCCGTCAAAGGACGCTTCACTATCACTAAAAGCAGGGGCAGAGGACGAGGAGGAAGAAGCGGAGGAGGAAGAGGAGGTATCATCACTGCTACTCTCGCTCCTCCGTCTCCTCTTCCTCTTCTTCCTCTCTCTTCTCTCCTTCCTCTTGCTCCTCCTCTTCCTTCTCTTGCTACTCGCCTTGCCCCCTCCGTGCCTCACCTTGCCACGCCCACCCTTCTTCTCTTTCTTCCTCTCCCTCTTCCTCCTTCTCTTCTCACCACCTTCCCCATACCCCACCCTCTCAACCCCACCTTCCCTGTCCACCTCACCCAACCTCCCCTCACCTCCTACCCTCTCCACAGCAACACCCAGACGCCTCAACAGCACCCTCACAGCCTCATGTCCCCCTGCCATACATCCCATCCCTGCTGATTCACCATCATCCATCCCCATGTGCCCTCCATCCTGCCCCATGCTCGCCATAAGATGTGCTCTGACCATCCACGTGCCAATTACCACCTCCATCCCTGCCATGCTGCCTTGCTCTCGGGCCCTCTCCCTCTCCCTCTCCCTCTCCCTCTCCCTCTCCCTCTCCCTCTCCCTCTCCCTCTCATTATAACTCTGGCTTCCTTCCCTCTCCTCACCCCTCCAGCTCCCCTCTCTCTTCTTCCCCTCACATCCCCCCCCACCACCTTTCAGAACATAATCCAATAGCTGCTTGCCAGGTGGCTCTCCCACAGAGCCAGAGAAGCAACCGCTCAGCGCCGCAGTCAACTCCTCCCGCTCGTCCGCCCACTCCGATTCACGGAGCAGCAACAGTGCTGTCTGCCTGCCATGGCACGCGCATGCGACGAGGAGGAGCAGGCGCTCGAACGAAGAGAGCGAATCCAGAGAAGGGAGTGATGCGAAGTGGTCTGCCTTCACTTCCCTTGCCCTCCTGCTGTTCCTCTCATTGTCCCCTTCTCTCCTCTCCCTTCTGCTCCTCTCCTCGTCCTTCTCCCTCCTCCCTCCTCTGCTCCTCTCCTCGCCTCCATCCCAGCACACACCAATAAGAACCTCTTCCATCATCCCTTGTGCCTCCACCATCCCTGCTCCCACTCCCATCTCACTCTCCCATCCCTCTCTCCCTCTCCCTTCCCTTGCCCCAGCCCACCCATCTCCGCCCCCCTCCTTCAATCTTCCCCTCTCCCTTTTAATCCCCCTCTCCCTCTCTCGATCATCCTCTCTCCTCCTCCCATCCGCCCTCCTGTCCGCCCCCCCTCCTTCCTCCCCTCTCCACCCCTGCACCCATCCCCACACACCCCGAGCCACACCCTCCAGGCCCTCTTCCCCTGCACCAGCCAGCACCCGAGAGCACAGCACACCCCAGTCAACCGAGTCAACAAAGTCTTGTACCACCTCATACACCATCTCTCTTCCTTGTCTCCCTCTCCTTCCCTCATGCATTTGCATTCCCGTTGGTACTCCCTCCTCCCTTCTCCAACCCTCCCTTGCTCTCCTGTCCCTCCCCTCGCCCTCCCTCCTCTCCATCCTTCTAACACTCACAGTGCGTAACACTTCCTCTACTCCTTCCTCCCACTCTTTCCTCCTCCTCTCATCTTCCATCTCCCTTATAAGCCGGCTCATCAACTCCTCTACAAAGAAACCGATATCCAGTGACAAGAATGCTCCGTCTTGTAAAGTTTTCCGAAGCTCGTGAGACGACCAAAACTCGGGCACCTCGCGCAAAAAGTTTTTCATGGTGCCCGAGATGTCCAGCTCACAGAAATAATGCGGCCGGGCAGCCACAGTAACAGGGGTCTGCGCATGCTTCCCTGCCCACACCAACCGATGCCAATGCTCCTCCCGATGCGCAAACGCAAACTCGGCCAAGGCTTGCGCGCCGAACCTGTGGTTCCGAACCAGACCGCGGGTCGGCAAGACCAGCCGGCCCGAACCTGGACTGTCCCGGTGCAGAGCGTCCCCAGCTGCTGCCGAGCCTGCCAGCTTCGTTTGGACCAAACCAGAACCAGAACCAGCAGCGGCAAAAGAGCTTGGTCTCTGTTGCTCCCTGCCCCAGTCCCCTTCCCCCCCTGTGCTCCCTTGACCGCTTGGGCTAGGTCCCATGCTGAAATGATCGAACCACAGGAGAATGCGGCGAGGATTGGCTGGAGGATGGGGGACGTGGGAGTGGTACGATGAAACGAGATATGTGAGAGGAGAGGAAGAGATATGTGGGATGATAGGGCCTAAGTGAGGAGGAAGATACGGTTTGCTGAAGTAGTGGAATCACAGGAGAAAGCGATAAGGATTGGCTGTTGGGGAAGAGAGGCTTGGCCCACGTTGACTCTCATTGGATTCTGTTGACTCGCGTTGACTCGCGTTGACTGTTCTCACCAGCAAAGAACGAGCGGATGAGGGCAGGGTCGTGCATCAGCAGCTGGGCAGCATCTCTCGGCCTTTCCTCGCACAGCAGCTGCAGCAGCTGCCGCAGCAGCGAGCGGTCAGACACGCCTGGGGAACACTTGGGGGGGGTTGGGGGGGAGGGGGGAAGGGGGGAAGGGGGGGAAGAGGGGTTGGGGGAAGGGGGAAGGGGAGGGGGCATGGGAGAAGGGAGAAGAGCGGGGGTGCGGGGGAGTAAAGTGGGGAAGGAGAAGCATGAGCGGATAGAGAGAGTGGTCAGAGGCACCTGGGGAAGCCTGGGAGGGGTCTGGGAATGGGGAGGGGGAGGAGGTGAGGGGGGGAGCGGGAGGGGGAATGCGCTGGAAGAGTGGGGGTGTGGGGGAGTAGGAAGTGGAGATGGGGAGGCATGCGCAGATTGAGAGAGCTCCAGACATAGCTCAGTCAAAGCGGATCTCGCGGGGAGGCATGCGCGGAGTGAGGGAGCAGTTAGAAGCGCCTGGGGTTGGGGAGGGTGTTGGTATGCTGGGAGTTCAAGAGGG